AAAAAAAAAAAAAAAAAAAAAAAAAAAAAAAAAAAGAAAGAAAGAAAAGAAAAGAAAAGAAAGAACGAGCTAACGAAGGAAGAAGAGAGAGAGAAAAAAAGAGAGAATAAAAAAAGGTCCTCTCACCTGAAAATGAAAAAAGCGGCACAGCAATGTGAACACGGAACTGTACAGTTGACATGCTTCAAATAAGAATCGGAGGTGTAACTCAATGGTAGAGCTCTGCGCATGCAAGGCCCAGAGTTTGATTTTTAAAAAGAAAATATGTATTAAGATGAAGGATTTCGAATATATTTTGCCAAAATAAAACTGAGTTCACGGGGCTCATGACCTTTGCAAGAGGGGTGGTAGATTGCCGGCCCACAAACGTTTCGACCACAAGTTTCCAGAGTGCCGAGTGCCGTTTGTATTTCGCGGAGGGCTGGAATGAAGACTGCTGAAATTTCATTTCAAACATCCGTCATCAAGTCTAAAAGATACAGTCATGCGCCCAACGTGGGGCTCGAACCCACGACCCTGAGATTAAGAGTCTCATGCTCTACCGACTGAGCTAGCCGGGCGCTCCGCTGAACGGCTTTTCGTTTCTTCAGGCCTATGTTCGGAGAACAGTCGGAAGTTTGGGGCTGAAGGGAGAATTTGATAGAACCACCAAAGTTTGGACATTTTGAGCCGTGAGTTTCTGACCATCCTCCCTATTTAGTTCCATTTTCTGCTTACGTTTTTCTAACAAGATCAGGGATTTTTTTTGGGGGGTGGGGGATGGGGGAGGGAATAATTTACTCTCGAATGTTATCGGGAGTAGTTCCGAGTTGAGAAAAGTGAGCGAAGCGAAGCCCGCTACTGCCAACGACCTTTTCTAACGCGTGTCTCCACCATCTGGAGTTTTTCGCAGCTGTCGGCTTGCTCGTTCAATTTGTAAATTTAGCACGAGAAAAACAAAAACCTAGTATGCAAAATGTTGCCACCATCTGGAGATGCCGGGGATCGAACCCGGGGCCTCATACATGCAAAGCATGCGCTCTACCACTGAGCTACATCCCCATTCGCTCTCGAGGGCTTCTTAGAACTTCCCTAGTGATTGCATAACTGTCTGCGGACCGCAAATACTAGAGAGGCCGCGTCGCCGCGTGAGTTCCGGAGTCTTCCTCCGACCCTCACTAAAGAAGCTTTTCCTCCCGGAAAGATGCCCAAGCGCGGACAGATCCGAGACCAGAAACTGGGTAGAGGGTAGAAAAGGGGAATAAAAACCCCACTCATCAGGCGTTATGACAAAAAAGAACCACGACCCGAAAAAGAAGATACGTTTAGTTTGTGTAAACGCAAGATAATAGTAAAACATAAAATGTTTAAACAAAATAATGAAGTTAATTGCTCTAGATGCGGAAAGCCCATAGGAAATGGGCAAGTTTTCAAATGCTTGATTTTTTTTTCCCTTTAATTTCACAATTTAAACCTGTGTGTGATGGCCGGCAGGCTTCGTGGATAAGGTAACATTTGAAAGGAGACCCGGAGGAGGTGGGCAGTACACTCTACAGGTTTCTGCGAGGAGACAGATCAGCCGTGCGAGCCCAGGAGCTGGGCCGCTGGGATTCGACGCTGGTGCAGTTGTGTGTCTGCATAGCATTTGTAAGTCAATCATAACTAATAAAACCACTTCAGCATGGCATCCCCATGAATCAGTTGCCCTGCCCTCCGTCCACTGAAGAGGTCTTCGCCACATTCCATTGCATGCTGTGTATGGATGAAAAAAAAAACAAAACAAAACAGCAAAAGTATTGAGAGCTATAGTCCACAAAAATAACCTTTTTAAAAATCTGGGTCTCAGATAACTCAAGCTGACCTTCAACTGGCCATATAGCCAGAGATGACCTTGAATTCCGGATCCTCTGCCCTTCAATGCTATGATTACAGGTCTGCGCCACCAGGTCCAGCAAAAACACATCACTGAAGAACCCTGAAGTATTTACTCTGACTTGGTGCCGGTCCTGCTCACCACCTGCAGTTCTGTGCCCGAAGGTCGTGGCATTCCTTAGTCCCGGGACTCACTCGTTTCTTCAACTGACTTAAAGTTCCTTATCTTAAAAATGATTGTAGTTGAATTTGCAGAAAAATTAAAACGTTTCATGACGGAGGGGGAGAATCAAGCAGGAGCCATTACAGGAGTCTTTCCGACATGTAGTAATATCAAGAAGGCCCACAGGGCTACATTGTGGTCAACACCAAAAGTCATAGGAGATGATGAGGACAGGGAAGTGTAGCTGGGCACAAAGAGAAGGTGAGGTCTTCAGGTTATTGTGAGACTTTCAGATTTTATTGAGAGTTAGTAGCTATTCAGAGGGTGTAGACTGTGGAGGCATCAGCTCTAAAACGGTTCTCTAAGGTCAAAAAACTGGAAGCTCGGACATGGGCTTAAGCAGAAAGTCTTTCCTAGCCGGCAACTATACTGGACAGTTAGGATCCCGGTGTAGTAGGGAGCGTTTCTCAGCGTGACTCTAAGCACAAAACCATTTCTGGGCTGACATATACTTATGTCAGATAGCCAGAAACAGAACTACAGAAGCTAAAAAGCAAGGTCAGTACATTTTGGGAGTTTCCCAGAACTATATGGATTTTGACGGATGAAGCCTTTGTTTTAGTTTTGGCAGGCGCTGCCGTCTACGGTCTTCATGCCGAGTGAGTGTTACAGTCTGAATGGCACTTCCACCATGGAGTCAGTTGTGCGAAGGTCTGGGGCCCTGTTCTAAAAGCTCACAGGAGTGTTCAGACTGAGGTTCAGGGACTGAGCCAGGACAGGGAGTGGAGTGAGAAGCCGTAGAAACTAAGAAGAAAGTAGGAGACCATAGACTGGAGACAAGCAGGAATGCAGGGTCCTGACTGGCAAGGAGAAAATGCTCTCAGGAAGGACACTTTAGAGAGCAGGAGAGGTGAGTGAGGGCTGCACCTTCGGGTCAGAATTGCATGAGTGGTGGGCGACGTTGACTAGAAAGGTTTGACAGGGGTAGAGGAGGTAGTCTGACCCTCGTGGCCTCCCAAGCGAAACGAGACAGGGAAGCAGTTCCAGAAAGGTCCACAGAACCCAGCTGGAGCGACAGAGAGGGGTTTTTTGTTTGTTTGTTTGGTTGGTTGGTTGGTTGGTTGGTTTTGTGTTTTTGGGAGGTAGTGGTGGAATAATATTGAATGAAATGAGAAAAAGTGATCGTATTACTTGTTCAGAATTAAAGGGGGAGAATTGTAAGAGATTTAGTTAACAAAAGTGGACAAAAGGCCGTCCCTGGGGCGTGGAAGTACAGCCAAATTCCAGACCCTAAGTTTAGCTCAGCGCAGTGCCAGGGCGAGTCGGTATGCGGGGAACAAGATACCTTGCCCCGGAGAGCCAGGCCTTTGCCCCTCTCCTGCCAGGTCAACCCAGGTCGACAAATGGGAGTGGAGTCCTGCTGGGCTTGTGCGCTCACCTGTCCCGGAGTGTCCTACTGCTGCCTGGGCCATACTGGGCGGTCTAGAGGGACTGAGGAAGGGGGGGGGGTCAATAGAAGGGAGATCGCCGGTTGGGGTGGTGGCTCTGGGAGCCCAGAGAAAGGGCACCACCTGCCTCCCCTCCCAGCTGGGTGCACCCTCAGCTCAAGTCTCAGCTTGCCCGGTGTCGGACCCGCCCTTTCTCACCCAGTGGGTACACGGGAGCCCGGCCCAGCTTGGAGTTACTGTCGAGCCCAGGGGCCTCCCCAGCGCCACAGGACTTGGATGTACCAAGGACACGGATGGCGACAGTGGGGCCGAGGACCGGGCCGAATGCAGGGGCCGAAGCGCTGGCGCTGGCGGCAGAGCTCCAAGGAGAGGCGACATGCTCTATCTGCCTAGAGTTTTTCCGGGAACCGGTGTCGGTGGAGTGCGGTCACAGCTTCTGCCGCGCCTGCATCATGCGCTGCTGGGAGCGTCCTGGAGCGGGGACCGGCACCGTGACCCGCACGCTGCCCTGCCCGCTGCCCTGCCCTCAGTGCCGCGAGCCCGCGCGCCCCAGCCAGCTGCGGCCCAACCGACAGCTGGCCGCGGTGGCCTCGCTACTTCGGCGCTTCAGCCTACCCCCGACAGTCACCGGGGAGTGCGGGACCCCTGCGGTGGTGGCCCGGACGGCGGCTGCCCGGTGCTCGCAACACGGAGAGTTGCTTAAGCTCTACTGCCAAGACGACGGACGTGCCATTTGCGTGGTGTGCGACCGCGCCCGCGAGCATCGTGCGCACGCCGTGCTGCCACTGGAGGAGGCGGTGCAGGAGGCCAAGGTGGGTGCAGGATCTTCTGGACCCCTGGCTCTACTCCAGCCCTCCCGGCTCTCCTGGCAGACAACAGGCAGGATGGCCTACAGCGAAACTCGCGTCTCCTTTCTCTCATCCTAAATTGTGGTTTTCCAGGACACCCCTCATCTCCTCTGGTCCCTCAGAGCCCGCTGCTGCCTGGAGACAACCCCAGGGACTTGAAGATTTTCTTGTCTGTTACCAACCGTTGTTGTAACTCTGCCCAGGAGCAAAGTCTCTGTTTCCATGCCCACATATCCTCCGCCTTCACTTACTCCTTTCCTAGGGGCGTGGCGCTACTCAAAGTACCCGGTTCTTGGAGGACCACAACGGGGCTTCCAGGTTTTGTGGTTTGTCTCAAGAAGTCTGTGCTGTGGGAAGCCTCTGGGCACCTCCCCTTTGTTTGTCCCTTGCTGGGTAACTGCACAAGAGGTGTGTGCACCCCCTAGCCTTTGCTGCTCTGTCCCTCTCCAGCCCACGTATGCTTTCTATTGCTGGAGACAAGATGGGCTGAACCAGTATGGGAGTCTTGAGTTCCAGCATAGACCATGTGGCTGATGACCTTGGGGAAGCGAGCTCCAGGGGCTTTGGAGAGTCTCTGTGTCTGCTCTGCACCGATAGACTTAATTTGGGTCATAGACACTCTGTTCGCCCCACAGCCAGAGATGATATCTATCCGGTCTCCTGCCCCCGAGAGCGAGCGGAACCTTGGCTTTCTCCCAGATGGCTCTAGGATGGCATATGAGAGGGTTTCCAGAATTCTCTTCCCACAGTATCTTTCTTTGTACCACAGGAGCTGCTGGACTCCAGGCTGAGGGCCTTGAAGAAAGAACTGGAAGAGTATGAAGTGTTCCGGTCCACCGAGGAGAGGGAGAGCAAGGAGCTTCTGGTGAGTCCAAGTGTGGGAGGCATAGTGTGTGTGTGTGTGTGTGTATGTGAGTGTGTGTGTGTGTCTGTGTGTCTCTGTGTGTGTTGTTAAAACAGTAGAGTGGATTTCGGAAAGATAATATGGTATATACATCATGAAGGTTGGCCATATAATTTACAATACAAACCAGAGCTTATGAAAGGGACCGTTACAATAATTTTTAGGATGCACAGTCATTCATAACAGGCCAATTAGGATTTTAGTAGCATCTTGTAACTGAATGCATTAATATTTCTTCACAGAAACATGTCATAATAAGTGAAAACACGAATACAATAAGGAGACACATATTATTAGCCTGAGGTATATTCTGCAAAGGAAAGAACTAACTCTGTAGACCAGGATGGCCTCAAACTCATAGAGAGCCACCTGCCTCTGCCTACCGAGTACTGGGATTAAAGGTATGCGCCTCCAACACTTGGCAGAAAATGTTCACTTTCAAAGCTTTGCTTTAAGAACTAGAGTTAAGGGAGAAGATGGTGAGAAGGAATCAGAGTTGCTCTTGGCTACGGCAGAGGACAAGAGGCTTGGAATCTCCGGTGCTAGGAATTTTCTAGAGTCCAGCACCTGCACCTCCAATTCGAAAAGAAAGTAAAATGGGCCTTGTTTTGGTTACTATGGACAAACATGAGTCACTGTCATTTTTTCTTTCTTTCTTTCCTGGGGAAGATTTTTGAGACAGGATTTTTCTGTAGCTTTGTAGCCTGTCCTGGAACAAGCTCTTGTAGACCAGGCTGGCCTCGAACTCACAGAGATCCTCCTGTCTCTCCCTCTTGAGTGCTGGGATCAAAGATGTGTACCAACACTGTCATTTTCTACCTCAAAAATCAGCCCCTAGCTCAATAAACAGTGCTGAAAGAATGAAAGGAACCACTAGGGTCTTTTAGGGCAAAGTCATTTGTTCATGAAACCAGGAATAGAGGGAGAAGCTGGGAGGATCCTCTTATTTTTTAGAAACTTATAGATATTTATGCGCCAGTGTCTGCATGTGAAGGTCAGAGGGCAACTTTGGGTCAGTTCCTGCCCTCCACCTTGATGTAATCTCGGGATTGGACAGATTGCCAGGTTTATGAGCCAAGTGTCTCTTACCTGCTGAGATGTCTCACTAGCCCGAACTCTCTATTCTTTAGGTTAGGAAGGGAAAGACTTAGGATTTCAGATACCCAGCCTCCTCTCTGTTGCTATTGTTGTTTTATTTTGTTTGAGACAAGGTCTCTCTATATAGCCCTGGCTGTCTTGGAACTTGCTGTGTAGGTTGGCCTCTAACCTACAGAGACCCACTCGCTTCTCCCTCCCTAGTGCTAGGATTGAAGTTGTGTACTACCATGCCTGGCCCTCTCCTGACTGCTGTAATTTAGAAAAAGCAGCGTGTGAGAGAAAGACATCATGAGACAGGGTTCATGTGAGGGTGGTTTTGTTAAGGGGAAGTTACGTAAAAGGAGGGGAGGGGAGGGCAAGACCGGCCTCTGGGGACAGGAGTGGCAGAATAAAAAGGAAAGGGGCGGGGAAAACAGACAGACAGATGGAGACACAGAGAAAAGAGAGAGAGAGATGGGAGGTGGGCAGGGCCCTTTTAAAAGGGGATGCAGTGAATGTGCATAGGAGGTGCTCTTAGTAGCTACAGCTGAGGACATATCCTGTCAGAACCCCAAGGTTAGGCCAGCACAGATGCCCGAATACCAACACCCTTAACTGAGTACCAACACCCTTAACTGAATACCAACACCCTTAACTGAGTACCGACACCCTTAACTGATTTACGCCTTTGTTTCCCATTTGTTCATTCCCTTCCATTCCCAAAGCAAAGTTCATCCATTCAGACCTTTATTCCACAGCTGCAGGAGATAGGAGCAAGAGCTGGCTCTTCAACCTTTGCTTTCCATCTCTGACTAAGAGTACATTCTCTTCCCAGTCTCTGACCCACCTCCCCAGGGCATTGTTCAGCACCTTCCACCTCTGCCCTTTCCCAAACCCAACCTATCCAAACCAGGGCCTTTCATGGCCAAGCAAGTGCTCTACCAGGGAGCCAGGTGTCCCTCATTCTTCTTACCACACACCAGCAGCGGGCGAACCTGCCTCTGCTCTTCCACTAAACGGGAATTTCATAATTGTACATATCATGTGGGCTGGAAGGTGGGGGGGTAGGAAGAGGAACTTACTCTCATCTGAAAAAATGCCATTACCCCAAGGGTCATCCAGTGATGATTGCAGGCATTTTGGTTGTCAGCACTGGGAGTGTCATTGACACTTACCGGCAGGGCTCTTTAGGTGTTAAATAGTCCATAATACACAGGGAAGCCCCCACAGCCAGGAATTATCAGGCCCCCAATGTCAACAACAGCAAGACCGGGACACCTCTGTTTGCAGTCTTCTTGGTCCGTTATTCTGCTTTCTGCTGGTGTTGCACAGTATCATTAGCTGCATGCTTTTTAAGGATAGAGTGTGTCATGGTAAATAAAAAGAAAGGTGAAGTGGGTACCTTTCGGCGAGCCCTGCCAAAGTATGCCACTAAGCAAACATGTTTGGAGCAGCAGTGTTAGTGCAAGAGGATTATCGGAGGGAGGGGGTAGAGAGGAGGGGAGGGGGAGAGGATAACTGTGAAAGGCCATGTGGGGGCAAGAAGAGGAAGGAGAGGAGCAAGAGGCAAGAAAGATGGGAGAGCGAGCTGTGCCCCAGCAGACACTTTTAAGGGGTGCACCTGTTGCACAGCTGATGGTGAAAGACACCTGGCAACTGCTTTGGTGGCAGAGGCAGGATGCAGCTGTAGTTGCAACTAACAGAGTGTCGCTGGGTTAAGATAGCTCACACCTTTGACTCCAGCACTTGGGGGGCAGAGACAGAAGGTGATCTGTGAGTCTGAGGCCAGCCTGGTCTTCATAATGAATTCCAGGACAACCAGGGCTATATAACAGCAACCATGAAAATTTAGTGTACAGGTCTGGAGGCTGGGAAGTCATCAGAAGGATGGCGCCAGTAGCTCCTCTGCACGGCTTGAGAAACTTCTTGCGGAACCGTAACAAAACGAAGGGCATCACGTGACAAGACAGGGGGGGACTATGTTCTTAGGTTCTTCCCTTCCTCCTTACCTTACCCCACTCCAGTCTTTAAAGGTGGTGTCTCATGTAGCCCAGGTTGGCCTGGAACTCGCTACGTAGTCCAGGCTGGCCTTATACTTGTGGAGACTCATCCTCCCGAGTGCTACAGGTCTAGAAATTTAACCACCGACGCAGATGCAGAGAGTTGTTTTGATAAACACCTTTACTTGGGTTCTTCCCTGGGAGTCAATGTCATATAGTTAACAGAAGTACAGACCTTAGAGTCAGACCCCGCCGCTTTAGAATCTTGACCTAACAAGTTCGAGGACGGGTCTTCCCCTCCTAAAATGGAATAAGAAGTGTGCTGACCTCACTGGGTCAGGGTGAATGAGTTAAAGTGCTCCTTGCTGATGCTACTGTTCAATGTCTGACGATGGAAGTGAGGCAGGTGTGCTGTGGGAAGCCTGGGGAGCCACCATCTGAGCCCAGTGCTCCTGACCGCACCCTCTCACAGTCTCCTCTTCTGCTCATCTTTTCTTTCCTCTGTAATGGCCTGGGAGAGGACCTTGCCTAATTGAACTTGCCCTGTGGGGGACAGGATACTTCCTTGTTGATAGCCAGTCCGGTCCTTGTTTACTCTATTGGAATTTTGCTACACAAATAAGTGTGTGTAAAAAAAAAAAATTCAAGGAGTTCATCTACAAACATGAAAGATCCTGAATCCGACAAGGGAAAGACTAGAATATTAAGTTTGCACGGAGCATGCACTCAGTGCCAAGTGTGTGTGCTGTAACCTCTGTTAACACACTTTAGTTTCTTCTCCCCTGTACCTCCAGAGTTCTACATTTTCACCTTGCATTTCCATCAGAATTGAAACCAAAATAGTGCTTTAAAAAAACAGGGTTGGATAGCTGGGTGGGGTGGTCTTAAGGCATGCCTTTAATACTAGCCCTCTGAAGGCTGAGGCCGGCAGATCTCTGTGAGTTCAAGGCCAGCCTGGTCTACCAGGATTACACAGTGAGACCCTGTCTCTAACATATAAGGTAAAAGGGAATTAAATAAACACACAGAGGAAGAAGAAGCAACTTTTGATTTAATCCTCATGATGGAAGCTGCAGCTTGAGGTAGCTGTGGGGAGTTTGAAGTTGCCCTAAGGGGTGTAAATCCCGCGCGCCTTAAGAGATAACAGAGGATGTTTGTGGCAGGGGAGAGGGGAGCAAGAGTTCAGGCTCTGGCTTGCACACAGTTGGGTTATTTTCATTAAGGGTGTGTACAGTATGCATGAGTGGGTGGGTGTGCCTCTGTTTCCCCAGTGAAGAGAAGCAACCCTGCCCTGGAGAATGCCTCCTTAAAGCTCTTATCTTAAATCAGGTGGTGGTGGTGCTCACCTTTAATTCCAGCACTCGGGAGGTAGAGGCAAGCTGAGTTCGAGGCCAGCCTGGTCTACAAGAGCTAATTCCAGGACAGTCTCCAAAGCTACAGACAAACCCTGTCTCGATAAACAAAAGCAAAAACAAAAACAAACAAACAAATTAAAAAAAACACAACGAACAAACAAAAAGCTTCTGCAGGTCCCTCTACCTCTAAATCGTGTGCCAACTTCCGTTCCCGAGACAGAAGCAGATGGAAGCAGAGAAAGAGAAGGTGGGGGCAGAATTCCAGGCACTGCGGGCCTTTCTGGTGGAGCAAGAGGGTCGGCTTCTAGGCCGACTGGAGGTGCTGTCCCGGGAAGTGACCCAGAAGCAGAATGAGAACCTGGCCCACCTCGACGGTGAGATCACTCAACTGTCCAAACTCAGCAGCCAGATCCAGGAGACAGCTCAGAAACCGGATCTAGACTTCCTCCAGGTGAGGCTGGCTCAGTCACGGCCTTGAGGCCTTTGCCCTAGGCCTTAGGAGAGGCTGCTGGAGAACAGTCGGACCCCAGGAGGAAGGAGATTGGAGAAAAGAACACTGGTTGGAAGGTTAAAAGGAATGTGATAAAACATTCATAGTTATCATTATAATTTACAATTTATTTTACATTAATTTGTATATTCACACTTGAGTCCAGTCTCAGAACACAATTCTTATCTTTGCTATCTGTAATTCGCTCTAATGTGCTCTATGCTATTCTATTTTATTAAAAAAGAGTTGGGGCTAACCAGGCAGTGGTGGTAGTGCATGCCTTTAATCTTTTAATCTCAGCATTTGGGAGGCAGAGGTTTGCCTGAGTTCAAGGCCAGCCTAGTTCACAAAGTGAGCCAGGACTGTTACACAGAGAAACCCTGTCTCAAAGAACAAAAACAAAACAAACAAAACAAGTTGGAGCTGGATAGGTGACTCAGCAGTTAACAGCACTTCCTAGTTCCCAAATGGTGACTCATCACCTGTAACTCTAGTTTTAGGGGATCTGGCACCCTCTTCTGGCTGCTGGGCACAGGTGGTGCACAGACATACACGCAGGCAAAACATCCATACATAAACATTTGTTTTCTGTTTTTGTTTTCCGGGACAGGGTTTCTCTGTGTAGTTTTGGAGCCTGTCCTGGTACTCTGCAGACCAGGTTAGCCTCGAACTCAGAGAGATCCTTTTGCCTCTCTCTCCGTGCGCCACCACTGCCTGGCTGGCTACATAAACATTTTTTTTTAAAAAAATAAATAATTAATTAGCCGGGCGATGGTGGTGCATGCCTTTAATCCCAGCACTTGGGAGGTAGAGGCAGGCAGGTCTTTATGAGTTCGAGGCCAGCCTGGTCTACAAGAGCTAGTTCCAGGACAGGCTCCAAAGCTACAGAGAAACCCTGTCTCGGAAAAAGAAAAAATAAATAATTAAAAATTAGTCACCAGGCCAGGCATAGTAGCACACACCTTTAACCCCAGCCCTCAGAAGGCAGAGGTAGGTAGATCGCTGTGAATTTGAGGCCAGCCTGGTCTACACAGTGAGTTCCAAAACAGCCAGGGCTAGACAGTGAAACCCTGTGGGGGGGGGGGGGGAGATGACGACACACACAAAAGAAATAAGACCCCGTGGCTTGTCGGGGGGGGTTAGTGGTAAACACTGACTCTTGTCTGGTAGCCCAGGGAGGATTTCACGAGAAAGGCTTTGCCTATCTGTGGCCAACGCTGAAGGGTACTCTGAGCTGACTTAACACAGTAGCCACCAAAGCTGGCAAGTAGTGCTGCCTGTGTTCAGGGGGCATGGCTTCTCAAAGGGGTAATGGGGGCTATACGATCACTGATTTGGTTTCCTTCCCCCTTTCCTTCCAGGAATTCAAAACCACACTAAGCAAGTGAGTGAACCTAACCACCCCTAGGTCTTCCCAAGCTCCTCTGCCCTCCCACCAAGCTTTCTCTTTTCATCCCAACATATCTCCCACCTCCTGACCCCTGGCTCCTACCTCCTTCCTTACCTGGGTACCTTTTGAGGCAAAGGCCCACCTACCTGGCTGTGGGAATTCCTGCATGAGGTTGGCTTTCCCTTCTCCTCCTACAGGAAGCAGCAGGGAGGATGGAGAGAAGGGATGGGGAGAGGGAGGGAGGGAGGAAAAGAGAGAATAAGACAGTCAGTTTGATGCTCTTCTCTTCGAAGGCAATTCTCCAGGCATGTAAGTCCCACCAGTCCACCTCCTTTATAAGGGTTGTGTTATCTCCCAAGAGTGCACAAGTTGGTAATCAAGCCTCGAGGATTACACGTGTCTAAACTATATCGCCAGCCTAATTGCCAGAGGGCAGCAGAGTGGGCTGGTGTTCTTGGGACTTCCTCGGGGGCCTTGTCCTGCAGGTGCAGCAGCGTGCCTGGCTCCAAGCCAACCACAGTGTCATCTGAGATGAAAAATAAGGTGTGGAACGTCTCCCTCAAGAGTTTCGTCTTGAAAGGATTGCTGAAGAAGTTCAAAGGTATGGGACCTGGGTGTGGGCTGGGCCGTACAGTGTTGGGTAGAGGGGGTGTGCTCCTGGTAGGTACATGGGACCTACAGATATGTCTTTCTTGAACTGCGAAGAAGGAGACAGGAGGTGGGACGCACCGAAGCCAGACTGTGGGATGGGAAGGCACCGATGACAAAGCCATCTGTGTTTCACCCCAAGGCCTTCTGCTCCCGATGGGGACAGATTAGAAGGGTAATGGGGGCAGGAAGAAGGCTAAAGGGGGAGATGCCAGGTCAGACCGGTTCTAGAGGGAGAAGGGGAAGTGGTGGAGCTAGGACACTTGGGGGGGGTCCCTCCTCCCTGTGTTCCCATCTTGGTTCGCTACATCCAACTCTTGGTGTCTTGAGTATCTGAAGTTAGGTGGGCTCTCGGTGTGTGGGAGAGGAGTCTTCCTGGCCAGGCAGACTCCCATGCTGTGCCCATTCGCTCTGCTTTGTTTCTCTGTAGAGGATCTTCAGGGAGAGCTGGAGAAAGAGGAGAAAGGTAAGAAGGACCCTTGCGACTGTGAGTATAAGGCTGGCCAGGTGGGGAACCTGCTCCCTGCCAGAGGCTGTCTCTCCGGGCTTTGCAAGTGGTTGTCTCTGTCTTCCCATCCATGACAGTGACTATCACTCTGCCCCCATCCTAATCCTTGTTTGACCTCTTTGAACCCTCAGGTGCCAATGGGGCCCATTGCTCCACAAGCCATGAGTGGTCAGGGTGAGGAATGATTTGGCCTCAGGTTGCTTGGGATAGAGAAATCTTCTCAATCTCTTGGAGATTGTGTGTGGGACTGGGGGGGACAGTGGAAACAAAGGGAGACTGCAGAGATCTGGGAGGGGGCGTTGATCCAACACTGAAGGGAGGGATGCATGTGCAGAGTACCTGGGTAGGATCCTGTAATGGCCCCTTTCCCTCTCTCTATACCCTCAGCCTCAGTGGCCTTCAAGGTATTTAACTTCATTGCACATCACGGCCTTGGCTTATCGCGCAACCACACACACTCCTTGCTACTTGTGGAGTGCGCCAACCACACAGGAACTTCAGGACCTTTGCATGGCAATGGCCATCCTTCAGTCAGAGTTAAGCTTCCCTGTCATATGGCTGATTTCCTCACTCACTTCAGATCTTTGCTCTAACGTACCCTTCCCGGGAGGCATTCCCGGCTACTGTCAATGAAATTACAATTTGCTCTCAAGTTAGATCTCTTACCTTCTGCAGATCACACACTGCCTTTCTCACACAACTGGGAAGGGAGCAACAATCAGGCAAGGTTGTTCACCTGCCTTGATCTCTCTAGTATTCCAGAGTGTCCTGGTCACTGTTTTATTTCTGTGAGGAGACACTAGGACCAATGTAACTCCTATAAAGGAAAACATTTAATTGGGGCTTGCCTTTATAGAGGGTTAGTTTATGATCATCATGGCTGAAAATGGACAGGCACAGTGCAGTAGCAGTAGCTGAAAGCTTTGCATCCTGTTCGGTAGGCAGCAGGCAGAAAGGGAGAGAGAAAGACTCTGGGCCTGGCGTGGGGTTTTGAAACCTCAAAGCCTAACCTTAGTGACATACTTCCTCCAACAAGGCCACACCTGCTGATCCTTCCCAAACAGTTCTACTTTCTAGTGACTAAGCATTCAAATATATGAGCCCATCTGTCTTCAACTGCCAATTGGTGAACATTTTCTTCACCCTGGCTATATGTTCAGTTTTACAACAGAGCAAGGATGGTATTTCCACAAATGTCTCAGAATATGTTACCTCTAAAGACACAGACTTCTTAAGACAGGAACACACTGTATAGCCCTGGCTCTCCTAAAAAACAGAATCATCACACCTAGAGAACGTGATACTTCTTTCTTGTGTCTAATTGTCAGATTTCTGCAGTTGTCTTTGTTTTGAGACAAGGCTCTTCTGCCTCTACCTCCTGAGCTCAGGTCTTCTCTACCACCCCAGCTCCACAACTATCTTTGACATCAGATTTGTTGTCCGCTCAAATTGAGATCCAAATCAGGCCCACCGTATTTCTTAGATTTTATGAGTTTGTTAAAAATTTTAATACGTGTTTGTTAAATTGAAGAAAGAGATAAAGAAGAAAGAGGAAAGTTAAATAGCTAAGGTGGAGGGAGGAGGGAAGACCAGGAGATAAGAAGGTAATGTGCTCTGAGTGTGTCTGTACTGTGAAAGTCACGCTGTTGGAGACCTCTTTCCCTTTCTCTATCCTCAGTGGAACTCACTTTGGACCCTGACACAGCCAACGCCCGCCTCATCTTGTCCCTGGATCTAAAGAGCGTGCGCCTGGGACAGCGTGCCCAGGACTTGCCTAATCATCCCCGCCGCTTTGATACCAACACCCGCGTTTTGGCGTCCTGTGGTTTCTCCTCAGGGCGACATCACTGGGAGGTGGAAGTGGGCTCCAAGGATGGCTGGGCCTTCGGTGTGGCCCGCGAGAGCGTGCGTCGCAAGGGCCTCACGCCCTTTACCCCCGAGGAGGGCGTCTGGGCAATGCAACTCAACAATGGGCAATACTGGGCTGTGACCAGCCCTGAGAGGACGCCCCTCAACTGTGGACATCTGTCGCGGGTGAGGGTGGCTCTGGACCTGGAGGTGGGGGCGGTGTCCTTCTATGCAGTGGAGGACATGCGCCACCTCTACACCTTCCGAGTCAACTTCCAGGAGCGAGTGTTCCCCCTTTTCTCCGTTTGCTCCACTGGCACCTACTTGCGAATCTGGCCTTGAAGAGCTGTCTTGGGCTTCCTTGGAGGAGCCAGGGCAGCCGCGGAGGGAACTCTCCTCTGTAAGACAGAGGTGCTCCATCTTGGACCTTTCCTCCACACCCCTGACCCAGGCTAGAGGACTGTCATAGAGCACAACAGAGTCGCTAAAAGCTGACCGGACCGAGGAGAGACGCGCTGTGGGGTAACCGCAAAGGGAAGAGATGCCTCGGACCCTTGGCGCCTGCTCCCTTCCTGTAATGTTCCTGCTCTTTGTATCTGAACTGTGGAGAGGTGGTGGCCCACTCGGACAAATGCCCAGCTCTTAACAAGGGTGCTTCAAACCCCATGAGCTTACTACCTTGATTTAGAAGGGTCCCTGTGCGCACAGAACAGTGTCAAAGACTGGTACCCTTGCAAAAGGGTGTGCTTTGGCCCCGGACCCATCGGGTTATTAGTTTACATTCGTGGCAGCTGCAGGCTCTGCCTGGAGAGGTCATTGAGTCCTCCTGATCCAGCTGGCCAGGCTGGGCTGTTTATTTAGGGAGGAACGTTGTAGCTCCCGGCTCAGAAGCCAGTCTGACTAGATCTGGAAGGAAACTCTTGACCTATGTGTGAGGCCTGAACGACGGCGTACACGTATGTACGTGCATTGCTGCATTGCTGTTTTCCAGCACTCCTTAGCTTGATGTCCTTGAACACAGTGACTGGCGACGTGTGGTCACAGGTGCCTTAAGCTTCACGGTTTCCATCGGTGTATATCTCCTTTGGGTAAAGAGAGCAAAAGGTTCTGCAATTGTGAAACACAGGTTGATATTTAGGAGTTTTCAGGTGGCAGCTAGCACGGTGTAGAGATGCACATGGCATCAACACAGTCCTGCCGAACCCTCTCGGGAGAGGACTGCTGTGCCTCTTTGCCAGGAAGAGGGTTAAGCACCCGGGCAAGCCTCCTTATCTTATCTTTCTTGCTGGAAAGGCAGCAGTGTTCCCTGCTTCACACTCCCTTGGGAAGCTGCAGAGTGGATGGAAATACAGATTTTTGAACACATTTCTTGGAGTGGTTGGTCTTATTCTGTTTTGACTGCAGACGGATATGCCTGAGCAACGATTTCAGCTAGTGTCATGTGTTTGAGGTGTGTGAGCTCGTGCGCTTGTATCTCAGATTTGGGATGAGGGTTTTGGAGGGGGCATTCATGAACAGCTGTATAGGGGTTAGCTGTTGCAAACATGGCTTCCCACTTACTGTGAAATCATGAGGAACAGAGTTGGGATCCCAGCACCCATATAGCAGGCAGCGAGCTCTGTAAATATTTAGGTCTCTAGCTTCAAGGGATACTGTGATGTCCTCTTTTAGTCTTTGTATGCACACCCCAGAATCAGTGCACACATGTCCATATACATTCACACACACACACACACACACACACATACACACAAACACACAATTTCACTTCAAAGGGAATAAAAGACAATCTATTCTGGTTTGGGGACATGACAGCCAGCCCTAACCTGATAGTGAAAGACCCCCAATATGGGGAGACTCTCACTCAAGTCTCAGGATAACACGACCCCCCCAGTAACTCACGAGAGACCATCCTTGCTGCAATCACATGAGGTTTAATCGACGGGAACCAGTGCACTGGGGCTGAGACTCATAACCCATGCAGGGGAGGAGTTCGACCCCCGAGTAGCTGGGAGAAGGGGTTTTTAAGGGAAGAAACCACAGCCCAGTAATCTGAAAGGGGTAGGGAGGTCCAGTGATGATCACAAGGGGGCAACTCCCTGTTCCTCAAGGTTATTCAAGATTATAATCAGCTAGTTCTTGAAACACAGTACCCCAAAAATACCAATGATAATCACAAGGGGGAAACTCCCTGTTTCTCAAGATTATTCTCAAGATTACAATCTAACTTTATCTTCAGCTAGTTCCTGAAACACTGAACCGGCTAATCCTAGATTTTTGATTCTTCCCTCCCTGCTTAGATTTTTGGCTCTATTTTTTCCTGCTAGGGGGATCTGGATTTATCCAGGTCTTTCCACAGCACTGTGTTATGTTATTGCCTGCCCTATCCCAGTCAACTAGCACACTTCCTCCAGGTTGATCAAATCTGTGTAATAATTTATACATCACTCCCCAAATGTTTAGGGGAGTTATCTTTAGTGCTGGGTAAAGAAACTTAATAAGGTCCCAGGCACCCCTTAAGGGCTGCTGACATTTACCCTGGAATGCCCGTGAGACCCCAGTGACCTGCAGGTGAGATAATTTTAGGATAGTGACGTCCCCGCTCTCTGCTTTTATGAACTCGCTTATCTTAGCTGTGGGACTGGAGTGGAGCGGCCTTCCTGTGACTACACAATGGGAAAGAGAAACAGCAGAGGGGAGAGAAGCGATTTCGCATCCAGCTGCGGAGTCCATGAACGTTGTCATGGACACTTTGGGTATCCCCTTTATAAGCCCCTCCCCCCTTAGGTCTCTACAGCACGTCGTACTGTTTGGCTCGAAGGCTGCTGTCCTTCTGCTAGCAGTAAGGACAAATTCATTTAATCTAAATGGAGCCTGTCTTCAGTCTTTACCAGTGGATCGGAATGCCACAACACGACTCAAGTACAAGTGACTATGTCCTGGGGACAGATTTAGATAACTCCAAATACCAGGTTTCATGACTCCTTTAAAGATGAGGTCTCACTCTGTATCTTTGGCTAGCCTGGAACTCTCTTTATGTGGACTAGACTGGCCTTGGACTCACAGATCTGGGATTAAAGGCATCTGCCAATCATACTCAGTTTATATGGTTCTTCGATGACTGCAATTTTCTTTGCATCATTTAATAACTGTTTAGAAGGACAAAGTATTACATGTCCCAGGAAGTGGGATGTTGGGTATAGGTAGGTATCCTGTGGACATGTGAGGCCAGGATTAGGGATTGTGGGTAGCTACTGTCTGTATGCATATGTGATTGTGTCTGTCAGTGAATGGTACTTAGAGCATAATTACAGATTTCTGTATAATGGCTGTAATGGAACAACGGTTACTGCGACAATTATTTGGCTACAGGGAAAATTGGTGACTTGGCTGCCCGCTCACACGAGACTTTGGGTGCCTCTCCCTCTCATCTCTTGGGCGTCATCGGACTTCTAAGATTATTGGGTCTCTGAGAAAAACTGGCCCTAAGACATCCTTCGTTCTCCACCGTTAGTCCTAGACCCGAGAAACCCAGAATTCCACATCTTCACAGATGCACTCAGATGAAGGGTGCCCAGGGGCTGCCTCGGGCTTGTACAGCTAGTGGCTTTTGAGCCACGGCAGGCTACGGCAGGCTAGCCACTAGGGACTGTGGACTACAGTCACTGCTTTTAATATTCTCTCAGATTATGACTCCTGTCCTCCCCTAGACCCTCATCTTCTCTGTCCTCCGCTCAGGGAGCCCTTAGGGACCCTGACAAACTCGTTCATTGATGGCTTTAAGATGTACCCTTAAGGGTTAGTTGTCCTTTTCCAATTTGCGTGTGAGTCTCCCCGCCCCCGTGTTCTCCACTCAGCACCCCGGAATGGTCACTACCCAGCCCGTCTCAGGTACCACCCTAACATCTCTGACTTTGTGGACAGTTTCACCAGCACCGTCCACTTGAATCCTTGGTCACAAGTCCCCTTCCCGCTTCTCTGGCGGCCCAATGCCCTTCTCACAGCGGCTGTCGCTGGAGGGACACTCCTTTCCCGCCCGCAGGCACTTCGTGTTTGTGTTCCTCCCTTATCTGGCCTTGTGGGCGGTGCAGTCGGGTCTGTTGCTGCAACTCGATTGAAAGACAAAGTTCTACTTTCATCACTATCTAACTTGGCATTGCATTCTGCGGCAGAGCGATGATGGTGACAGTGTTAACTGCTTGTGCGCAGAAACCGCCCTCGTGGTTGGCTCCATAGCTCAGGGGTTAGAGCACTGGTCTTGTAAACCAGGGGTCGCGAGTTCAAATCTCGCTGGGGCCTACGACACTTTCATTTTTAGCTGCTTCCCAGAACCTGAACAAAACTGAAATCACCGGTGGGGAGCTAGGTTCTGGCCGTGATACTTTTGTTGCTTTTCTTCGTGAGCTAGGTTCTGGCGGTGATACTTTTGTTGCTTTTCTTCTCACGTAGTCACAGCCCACAGCTAAATTCCTGCATCCTCTCTTGAAATCAGACCCACAGGGAATTTCCCCACGAAGTCCCCGCGTCCAGCGCTCTTTCTCCGCTGTTCCCCCTCGGCATGCTCTCGGTGAGGCCACCCCCAACCTCCTGTCACCCCATCCGTTTTAATGGCTCGATCCCACTTCCCCTTTCCGGATGGAGAGCGCGGCTCCATAGCGCCTCTTCGCCTCCGGGCGCCAGCGTCCGGATCCCCCGCAGCCGGACCCTAGGTCGGCGCCTCTGGTTGACCGCCAGGGCGGGGTGTCTCGGGGCTGCAGGTCCCTGTCGCCCCCGTGTGGAATCACAGAAAGGCAAATGCAAATGACCGCTCACTTTCCTCACCTGTGGGCCCAACGACTAACTTTTGTCATTTTCACTCAATATTTTAAGAAAAAAAAAATAGAACCAATTATGCTCGTTGGCTTGTACAGTGCATAGAATGAGCGTAAATCCTCAGTAAATCTAGAGTGTTTGCCAAGCAAGGGCCAGGGTCAAGCTGCTGTAAGAATTTCCCTGCCGAGACACGAATAAATGTGTGTTCACTTTAGATAGGGAATTAGGAAAGAACAAACAAAAGATTCTACTTATGTCTAGTTTGGCGAACTTGCTAGCTAGACTTATGTCAAATTGACGCATAAACAAAAGTTATCTGAAAAGAGGGAACCGTAATTGAGAAAATGCCTTCATAATATCCGGCTGAAAGGCATTTTCCTAATTAGTTATTAGGAAAATTAGTTATCAGGGAGGGCCTAGCCCGTTGTGGGTGCTGCCATCCCTGGACTGCTGGTCCTGGGTTCTGTAAGAAAACAGGCTGAGCAAAGCCATGGGGAACAAGCCGCCAAGCGGCTCCCCTCCACTGCCTGAGCCCCAGCTCCTGCCACCAGGGTCCGGTCCTTTTTGAGCTCCGGTCTTCCTTCAGCGATGAGCAGTGCTTTGGAAGCCTAAGCCGAACAAACCCTTTCCTCTCCGAGTTCCTTTTTGGTTATGGTGTTTCATAGAAACCCCAAGACAGCGAACCTATGTATGAGCTTATTCCTTCGAGGACTCTGGGTGCAGGGTTATTTGCAGGAATATAGGTGATTCAAAACCATCTCTGAAAAGCCCGCCTCAACAAGGACAGTTGACTCGCGAAGGTTGCATCCAGGAGCTCCCTGCTGGACTCGCAGGCTGCCCCACCGAGTGGGCCTTGGGGTGAGTTTCCTGTCGGTATCAAGGGCGTGGGACACCGATTCCCACTCAGCCCCCACCACTCTCCGCCCTCATCGCCTCCCCCTCCAGCCGCCACCCTGGTGTTCGCTAGAGGTTTTTTCCGCTCTCGTGTGCTGGGGGAAAATTCTGTTTTTGAGTCCTGACCACCTGTTACAACCCCCTCGGGGCCTTTCCGAGCGAGGTTCCCTTCGGCTGGAGAATGGGTACCAGCCGGGAAAGCAACACTGTCTCCAGATCCCTAAATCTCCTGGGTTGTCTACTGTTTCCTCTGAATAGAGAGATTCGCTGTCGGTGGGAGAAAGGAGGCTGGTAAAATTAGTGAGCTAACGAAATTAGTTAAGACTCGGAAATGAGTGACAGGCCCTGAAAACTCAGAGAGTTCCCAGAAGCACACAACCTCTCTTCCTGAGGCTAGAGAGGCTGTAATCAATTGCTGGCTAGAAGAAAGGGACTCCGGTGGGGCAGCCTGCGAGTCCAGCGGGGAGCTCCTGGATGCAACCTTCGCGAGTCAACTGTCCTTGCTGGGGTGGGCTTTTCAGAGATGGTTTTGAATCACCTATATTCCCGCAAATAACCCTGCACCCAGAGTCCTGCTTTCTTATAGAACCCAGGACCAGCAGTTCAGGGATGGCAGCACCCACAACGGGCTGGTTGCCTCTCTCCAACTCCAGCCAGCT